CTGCGACCCACTTAGAGTTCACCTCCGATTGCTGAGCAGACACAGACAGCACCCACTGTCAGTACTACCTGCCACTCACCCAGATTGCAGTTTCTCAAGAGTAATATCGCGGCATGAAAACAATATACCATCAAGATTTTCTCCGCCAAATGCCCCTGCAGTGCCTCCATGGGTCCTGCCTAAACCACCTGTTTCATTTACGATACCTGGAATCACGAAGAAGTCGCTCATTTCTTCTGTTGGCCTCAGACAGCTGACCCTATATCACATTTACACAACGTACAGTGATTATCTGCACGTGTACACCGATGGGTCCACCACACTAAACACCTCCGCCGCAGCCTTTGTCATCCCAGACATGGATATCGCTCGACGATTCAAAGTGGACCATAAAACCACATCAACTGCCGCAGAGCTTGTCGCTATTCGGGAGGCAATAAGATTTATTTCCGGAGAGCGACCTCGAGCCTGGACGATTTTCTGTGATGCCAAACCCGCTTTGCAAACCATTAATTGCATCATGAAGCAAGGTCCGTATTACAGCTTGGCAATAGAAATCACAAAACTTATTCAGGTTGCTTCAACAAATGGTCATCTTATAACTTTCCAGTGGATTCCCGCTCATTGCAGCATGATGGGAAACGAAGAGGCAGACGCTGAAGCTAAAAATGCCTTAAGCAGTGCCCCTGAAGTACGCATTGCGTTTTCACGAGCTGACACGAATGCCCTGCTTCGCTGCGTGATGCGCAGCTACACACTTCAGCACTGGACCAAACCGGAACGGCGACACCAGCGACTTCACAAATGGGACCCGGAAATGAGGTTCCGCATGCCCCCTAAATTGAAAAGGCAACTCACAAGTATGATCTACCGCATTCGTCTTGGTGTAGCGTACACCAGACGTTACGCACATATCATCGGTCGCAGTGACACCGGTCCTAATTGTGAACACTGTGATGTGCCAGAAACACTTGAGCACATATTTTGTGTCTGCCCAGCATACGCACGTGATTGACAAACACTGATTTCTTCTACTGAACTATATCGCAGTAGGTCATTAACTGATGAGGTCATGTTGGGCCCTTGGCCAGACACCAACAGTGCAACTGCGGTCACAAGAGCAGTTATAACCTATTTGGAAACAACTGGACCATGTGCGCGGCTATGAAATGTGTCTCAACTAGAAATAACACTACATACTCATCTCTTTATCTCACCATCGTCATTCATTAATCTTTCTTTTCCCCTTTCCCTTCCCCCAGTGTAGAGTAGCAGACTAGAGCAAGCTATCGCTCAGGCCGACCTCTCTGCCTTTCTGTAAATAAACTTACCTCTTTCCCAGGCTACGTATAGAGATACATGTGTCATTTGACGGGGTGCTCCACGTCCCTTGACACGGTCCGCAGCCGTGTCCGAGGCTACACAGTTGCGGATAAAATTCTGTAATGCCCTTGGATACAGAGTACGACGACTCAACAATGTTGAGCTTGTCTTTACCCTTGCTCCAATACAAAAGATTTCATATGAATAATCACTCAGCCAGAATCGAACGAAATGAAATTATTTTCAAAAGCGTCAAATATATGGAACTCCAATCTTCGCACATTAACCACAATAAGTTAACCTAGTAATAATGAAATTTAACTGGCGATGACGCCAAGGAAATTGTAGGGGATAGTATTATTAGTCACTTTAATGAGAATGTAAGAAGACCTTCGAATATGACGTCCATCAGACATGTTATTCCAAGGTCTGGTACGTTATTAGGAAGCTGTAGGTTCAGTCCCTGCGAGCAGCAAGTTACATTTTCGTCCATATTTCTTACTTTAGATAACATTTAGCAACATTACCATCCCCTACGCGCTCGCCGGCACCATTGTCAGTTTGTTATCGTTAATGTTGTGTCTAACAAACAGAAAACGAGTCCTTATAACTTCCACATCTTTCCGTAATGAATAAACCTCTGAGGCGTCCTCCTTTGGCTCCCATGTTCTGTGAGAGCTTGTGAAAAATTTACCTTAGTACTCCTTCATGCATGCCTAAAAGGAAAGGAAAATTGGCGACCACCTATTTTTATCACGAAGCCACAAGAAACCCCATAGGGATTCCACACAAAATTTCTCAGTTGAGGAAAAACTTGTCCTTTTCCGGAGATCGAACACAGGATAGCGTCGTACCGGGACAGTATCTCTATCATTACTTTCTAAACCTTTCTGCCACCTCACGGCGATACGCCGACCCATTCTGCTATGTTCAGTAACGATGTGCTTTGAGTGTCTGTTTAATACATTCTCACGTTGACAGAGGACATATCTGTCAACGTGAGGATGTATTAACTGTGTGTAACTGTGTGGATGTAACTGTGTGTGTGATGTTTTTCGCTTTCCTCACCACTGTCCTTGTTTTTGTTTTTGTTTTTTGTTCACGAAACTGTTTACACGAGTATATGTCTCACTCCTTTTTTTTTTTTTTTTGTTTACGAGCCGGGATGTAGGCCTAGTCAGAAAACAGTATCGTCTGTTCCCTTTTGCCTCATTTCGGTGGCATGTAACTGTTGTGTACACATGCCAGAATAAAGTATTATTATTATTATTATACTGGTTAGTCCAATTGTTGAAACAACCCCCCCCCCCCCCCCATAGAAAAGCGTTCGTCTTCTGTCCGATCCCCAGACAAAGACAAATTTGCAGTTTGCACACAACAGTATGCATAGACATCAAGCTTGATGCCAAAAGAGTTGAAGTTACCAGAGGGAGGGGGCTAGGTGAACATGAATATTTTAGGCATATAGGGCAGCACTGAATGTCAAGGATTGCAGAAAGTTTTATTTAAGGTAAACTTGTTAGTGCGCGCCCGTGTATCTTTGTATCCTTGTTATCAATGACAACATCTTCAATTCTGACAATTCCTTTTCACAAAAAAATTGAAGGAAGTTTCACGCCTCCGTAATGAGCGTATGAGTGACTGCTGAATAGGTCCATTTAGCACATACTAACAATCCTCCTGAGAACAACGTGATATCAGGTTGTTTGAACACACGGTCAGTAAACGTTTGGTCGAGGCCAATAATTGTTTTTTTCAACTCCTCCGTCAGGGTTCCCTACGCGATGCAAGTGATTCTGTTGCTAGAACCGTAACTGCCTTCTCAACGCAAACATGGACGATTAAAAAAGGCACCACGAGCACTCCTCGTCACGTCCTTCCTACTTCTTTTCTCGCCCCTTTATGTGCTGCGCAGCTGAGTATGAATCAGTACACCAACTCACTCAACTGCCAGTAATTATGTTACTATAATCATCATCATCATCATCATCATCACCATTATCATCATCATCATCATCATCAGCCTGACTACGTCCACTGCAGGACAAATGCCTCTTCCATGTTTCACCAGTTAACCCGGTCCTGTGCTTCTTGGTGCCAATTTCACGCTCCGAAAAACGGAGGAAGCGTCGAAGCAGTGAAGAGGAAACTTGGAATAGGCAAAAACGGATGTATGCACTAAGGGACAAAGAAGGCCAAATAACTACCAATATGGATAGGATAGTTAAAATAGCGGAGGAGTTTTACAGAGATCTGTACAGTAGCCGGGACAACCACTACTTTAATACTATAAGAACTAGCAGTAACCCAGACGTTACTATGCTTCACTACAATTTTTTTTATTTTTGAGTGACTTGACTATATAAGTGTATATCTCAACTGAATGTGTTCCATTGTGCAGATTTACGTTTAGGTTATTTTTGTTTTACTGGCTA